GGACCCCCGCCCTCCAGGACCAAGTTTGGGCACCCCTGCTTTAGGCTATAATTATTAACAAGCTAATCTTAGCTTAATGCGATCTCACAAAGTTCTGTTAAAGGGGTGGTTGACTGTTTTTTTCTAGGCTTGACTGTGTTTATTGGGGTGCAGTCTAACATGTGTTAATGCTTCGTTTTTTAAAAAACGCATTATTTTTCACATAATTTACCATTATTCTACACCGCTCTGTCCCTTCTCCTATAAACACGCTGATCATTTTCTGGTTTTATGAAGCCCCTCCCTCAGAAATACGTGATGGGCTCAGATTGGTTAGCTGGCCCAGTGTGTTGTGATTCGCTAAACCACCTAAACGTCCCGCCCCAATTTCTATTAGTTTTTAAATATTTTTTTATTTCAGTTTAAGTAATTTTAGGACTTAAATTTATTTCACTTAGTTGCCAAGGCAGCATTTTTATGTTCTTAATCTCATAAGTGTATTTTATTTAATTTAAGCTTTACTACTTTTTTAGTTTCCTTTCCTTTAGTTTCCGTATCCTTTTAATTTGTGTTCAACTTTTTTGTGGACCAAACATCTGAAGCTCTTTTATGTTTCAAGGGCTGATTTAATGGAGAAGATCAAGGTTTTATTTAATTTTTTTTGTCTTGGCCGGTCTATAAAAATAGGCTGGCACGCGGTGTGTGGCCGAGCGTGCGGTCCATTTGCACATTAAAAAGGACATTCATCACAGAGCGTCAGTGCTGCGAGGGTTCTCGCTGGGTTTGGTGCAGGGCTGGGTGGAGCCAGGGCACTGGTGCATGTCCTTGAGTGTGTGTTTGTGTGTGTGTGTGTGGTATAGGACCCACCTGGTGCAGTATTCGTGACACTCTCTCTCATTCACTCTCTGGGTTGAGGAATAGAGTTAGACACACACATAAACACACACACACATCTCGTCTTCAGGCGAGGAGCGTTTGTCACCACTCTCAGCCCAGGGCAGCCATTTAATACGACCTCTGTGCGTGTGTGAGACGGACGGACTGAGCTTGCACTCGCAGCCAGAGACGTTCGCCTGGTCCAGGACAGACGACAACTCAGTGTGAGCTTGCGGAAGTGAGCTGCGCCCTGTCTGGGATGAGAGAGGCTCAAGGATGCGCCCTCCATCTCATTCACTCGCGGACTCTCTCTCGCTTAACGGCAAGGCGGACACTTCCTCCGTCGCTCGGCGCACACTAACGCGGTCCTGGGAGACTAACAGGCAACCCGTGATTAACCTGGAAGAGAGTTAATTTAGGATGAGGTAAGCTCACTGAACTGAATCGAAATCGAGCCCTCTTGAGGCTCAAAGTGTAATTGATCATTTAATTTGGTTAACTATTTAAGTTTGTAACTTTTTTGCACCGTCTTTTGTGAATTTCCACATGCTGAAGGACGTTCCGTCCTGCTGGTTCTTGGCTTCACAGTTCCCATCTGTCTTGTGGTCGTAGCCGTTTTCACAGTGAGCCAGCATATTCGGCTTTCGTGCTTCTAGCTGACATGTTTGCGGGTGTCACAGGCAGTGCCAGTGTAATCAGGTCGATGAGCATCTATGAGCCTTAATCAACATAATGCACTCACGGCTGGAGGAGGTGTCAGCACACTGGGCTGTGGCTGCACTGGACGTCCTATTTCTTGAGTTCGGTTTGGTGGCTCATTGCCCATCACTTTAATTACAACAGTGCTGTGATTGACGCTCAGTGCGCTTGCTTGTAAATGTTTGATTTATTAGAATATGACTCAGCTGATTGAGGTTTGTACCACAGGTCAACAACTTGACAATAGATATTTCTAACAAAATATTTTAGTGTACATTATATACACTACCATTCAAAAGCTTGCAGTCTTTAAGATGTTTTTCAAAAAAGTCTCTACTGCTCACCAAGGCTGCATTTATTTGATCAGACACCATTAAAAACTGTACAATTGTAAAATATTATTGCAATTTAAAATAACTGTTTTTTTATGTGAATATGTTTTTAGATGTAATTTGTTGCTGTGATCAAATCTGGATTTTCATCATCATTACTCCAGTGTTCAGTGTCACATGATTCTTAAGAAATTATTCTAATATGCTGATTTGCTGCTCAAGAAACATTTCTGATTATTATCAATGTTGAAAACAGTTGTGCTGCTTCATATTTTTCTGGGAACAGTGATACATTTTATTTTTCCGGATTATTTGATGAATAGAAAGTTCAAAAGAACAGCATGTATTTGAAATAGAAATCTTTTGTGACGTTTTAAATATACTGTCGCTTTTGAACAGTTAGTCAATGCTGAATAAAGGTATTTATTTCTTTAAAAACAAAATCTTACTCACCCTAAACTTTTGAATGGTAGTGTATTATAAATATATTTGACATTTGAAGTGGCAGTTCACCCCAAAATGAAAATTGTCATCATTAACTCATGTTGTTCTGAAGCCATATGACTTTTTCTTTTATTGAATACAAAAAGCAGAACATTGTCGCTTTTCTTTCCATAAAATTAAAGCATATAAACCAGAGGTTGTCGATCTCTGAAAAGCACCATAGAAGTATTTCATACTTGCCAGTGTGCTATTGAAAGTCATCCAGAAGTTAGATGTGTGAGGAACAGATTGAAACGTATTCACTCTGCTGCAGTGGAGGGCAGGGTTTTCAGTAAATATTTACAAAGATATGGACGACAGCACACACGTCTACTTATAACTACTTATTTTTTGGAACTTTTTGGGCTAAATCTCTGTTTTTGTGTTCAACAGAAGAAAAAAGTCATAAAACTTGAGGATGAGTAAATGATGACTGAATTTTTGGCTGAATTATAAACTCCTTTTTTGTGCGAGTATGTATGTGTGAGTAAAACAATATTAATTTTGAAATAATTTAGGATGAGACTTTGATTGGATAGTTGCATATTAGATTTCTTTCATTACATAATTCGAAAAGTCAAGTAAAGTCAGATATGAAGTAGTATATTTTACAAAAGTATTAATTATATTGCCTTAATTTTAATTTAATCTTAATGTTAACTAAAGTTGTGTACAACCTTTAATGAGAAACCTCATACATTTCTAAAACATTTACCTAGTGTTCCTTTCTCTCTCTCATTCTCTGTCCCAGCATGACCTTTCATTCACCACACTGTAAAGACTGATTTAGGAATGGCTGATTTTGTGTGTTTGTGTGCAGCTCAAGCCCATGAGAGAATGATGAGCCCTACTGGGCCCAGTCCCAATCCCAACATCCCATCAGAGTACTGCTCCACCATACCGCCCATGCAGCAGGCCCGCGCCGCCGGCACCCTCAACTCTCCCCCACCCACCGTCATGGTCCCCGTGTCTGTCCTCAAACACCCCGGTAATGACGGTACGCACTGCACTCTGAGCCAGAGTTATAGCTCTTATGGCTATAAAACACAGTGACTTCCACTTAATATAATTACTTCATGAATGAAAGAGTGACTGCGTCCCAAATTTGCATGCACTACGTATCATATAGTGTGCTAGACTAGGTACACTACTATGTAAAAGTTTTGGGTCAGTACGATTTTTAATGAATATTTCTATTCAGCAAGTATGTATTAAATTGATCAAAAGTGGCATTTATAGACATTTAAAACATTACAAAAGATTTCTATTTCCAATAAATTCTGTTCTTTTGAACTTTTTGTTCATCAAAGAATCCTAAAAAATAAAATGTATCACAGTTTCCACAAAAATATGAAGCAGCACAACTGTTTTCAACATTGATGATAATAAGGAATGTTTCTTGAGCAGCAAATCAGCATATTAGAGTGATTTCTGAAGGATCATGTGACACTGAAGACTGGAGTAATGATGCTGAAAATTCAGCTTTGATCACAGGAATAAATGGCATTTTACAATATATAAAAAAAAAAAAAAAAGGTGATTTTAAATTGTAATAATATTTCACAATTTCTAGTGTATTTTTGATCAAACATTTGACCCAAACAAAACCCAAAATGTTAAATGGTATTGTAATTAGTGTAGAAAAAATAGAAAACAGAAAAAAAATTGTTTCCTCTTCATCACACCAAATATCATGGACATTTTATTTGATACACCTATTTCAAGTCAGTGTTATTTTAGTGTCATTGATATACTATTATAGTTTTATTAATATTTTAAATCAGATTTTGTTTTTATATTTTGTTTTCATTTCAATTTTAAAGTTTTAGTAAATGTGTTTTGTTTTTGTCATTTTTTTATTTCTATATAGTTATTCATTTTTATTTAAATTTTAGTTATTTTTAGCACTTTAAGTTAAACTGAAATAAAATAAGAATTGATGCATTGGCAACTAACTATTTTAGTTTTAGTTAACAAAAATAACCCTGTTTCAAGCCTTATCCTAACGAGTTGCTGTTTTTGTTTCTCCATGTGTTCTCGTAGGTTTTCCACGTGAGCAGAAGCATGTGTGGTTTGCTGATGGTATCCTGCCGAACGGTGAAGTCGCCGACACCACCAAACTGTCCGTACAGACCCGGAGATCCTCTCAGGAGTCAAGCCCAGTAACGCCAGACCCGCCAGGGGTGAGATGGCTAAATCCTCTTAACTGATGCTGGAGAGAACTGATAATGACAACTGAAGTCATTAACTGATTTGCTGCCTTTCAGCCTGATGGTAAATTGCCTGGTGAGTGTGATGAGAGCGCCGGAGGAAGTTCTGACAGCGCTGCCGAGGTGAGCCGCCCGCCCCTCAGAGGCCCGTGGGACTACGGCCTGCTCTGTGCGGTGGGCAGCTGTGTGCAGAGAGCGGTCAGTCTGGTGCCGGAGGATGATGAAGGTCTGCCTCCACTGCTCATTACCACAGGAGAGGAGGAAGATGGGGGTGAGCACTTTCAAAGGCTTAAACTAGAGGGTAGTCTCATTTTGATTGGGCTATAAGTCAACATCAATATTTATCAAAAAAAACAAATGCACAATATCGAAAATAAACTTGAACATGAACTCATGTACTTCATCTCCAGAGCTGTCACTTTCGCCATCATTTCATTTGAGAAAAACTAGTGTCAGATACACACACAAACTCAAAGGTCTTCGCAATGACCCACCAGAATAAAAGTATGGTTTAATTTGAAGAAATTATTACAAAAATATATAGCTGTTATATAGTAAAATGTACTTCTCTCAAAGTAAAAATGATAATAATACAACAATAAAACATTACTTTGAATTATTATTATCATTAATATTATTATTATTATTATTATTTTAAGGAGTATCATACAACTAAGATTTTGTCATCCATGTTTTAATTAATACAGTATAAAATTTCTGCGCTTTATTTGACCAAAAAAAAGTTTGACATAAAATAACATATTTTTGCTGGAAATTAGTTGTTATATTTTTGTTTATTTGTTAAAGTTTTAAGAATTTGCTTCTTTAGACCTCTTTTTTTTTGATGAAACAGAAACGCAAAATTTGGGGAAAAATATTTATAAATGAATAAAAGGTAGATTATTCTGTAGTTTACTTCTAAATAAATCAATTATATTCAGATTTATTCTCGAGGTCTAGCAAATATGTGGAATTCATTTTCTTCCCCATTAATGGTATGAAATTAATGTTGTGATAAATCAATATTGAATGATATGGTGGGGGGGGAAATGTTGTGATAATATTTTTTGGCAATATTGTCAAACCCTACTAAACAGGTGATTTTTAGCCAGAATCTTATTGCTTTAATAATACATTGGACTATTTGGTGAGAAATTTTGAGCATTTCATGCCCTCAGGCTCAGAAATTTGTCTATTGCAATGCCAGAATGGGTCCATGTGTGGCTTTGTAGATGACAGCAAAATACTATTTACTTATAGAAGTCAGTTAATATCCTGATTGAGTATAAAATGTCATTTAAATGTGTAGCTACCTTACTACCTTTAACTGAAGCTGCTGCCATTTTGGGTATTTTGTGACCTCACAATAGTCATTTTGCTGTTGCTGTCTTTTTGCTGTTTTTCTGTCATTGCATTGCAGATGTATTAGTTGAGGAACGTCCTGCTGCTTGCCAAATATTGCTGCTGTTGGAAGAGGGAGGCCCACAACCTCTGACCTTTGTGCTCAACGCCAATTTACTGGTGAACGTCAAGATCGTCACATGTATGTTACGGGATCTCAATCTGATGAAAATATGTGATCATGTCCAGCTTGTTCATTTGATAAACTTCATTGCCTTCTCTTTGTTTGTGTTGAAGATGGTGGGAAGAGGTGCTGGTGTCTGAGCTCTAACGGTCTTCAGGGAGTGGGCCAGAAGGAGCTGGTGTTTATAATTGAGTGTCTCCCAGAGGAGAACAGCCTGCCTAGAGACGTATTCAACCTGTACGTTAGTTTATACCAGGATGCACAGAAAGGTACGTCATACAAAACACTTCACAGTACAGGCAAAAACATTGTGCTTTCATGCACTGCTTGGTTTTGAGATCTTGGGCTTTTTGGCTTTTCATGACGTGATGTTTTAGACTAGTGGAAAGAAAACATCCAAAATAACTTTTAAGTGTTAATTTTATTGTAGTTTGTCTATTTGTGTCTCTACATTTAAATTACAATCCATATCTTTAAAGGCTGTTTTCTCAAAATGACTTTTTGCTCCACTTCAGCCGCGCTGACATACACCAAACTTTACAGTTTTTATACATTTTATTGCTAAAACCATGGTGAATTTTTTTCTGGCTGTTGACAGTATTTATTTTTTTCTAGAATGATGTACTTCTCAAAGTAAAAATAATATTAATAATAACAATAATACAACTTATTATAGTATTATTTTGAATTATTATTATTATTAGTAGTAGTAGTAGTAGTAGTAATATCATTATTATTATTAAGGAATATCTTACAACTCTTACAAATATTTTTTTTATCCATGTTTTAATTAATACAGTACAATTTCTGTACTGCAGCACTTTTTGACAAAAAATAAAATAAATAAAAATGCATTTTTGGGGGGAAATTCTATTGTGTATATATTGTATATTTATATTGTGTGTATTGTATATTGTATATATATATATATACACACACGCACACATGTATATTTATGTATTGACTAAATTGTTAAAGTTTCATGAATTTGTCCTAAACAACATTTTTGATAATAAAAATCTTAAATCCCCTCTGACACAACCTGTTCCGGAATGTCTGTTTCTAGAAATGCATGCAAATTAGTGCATATTTCATTAGTTAATGCATCATTTGCATATTTAAACATACCATACCAAAACATGTTTGCGATTCTTAATGTAATCAGTTAATTGAAGATGTATGGTGATATGTTAGTTAAATTATTACCCTATTCATCGGTAGTGTCTTGCCTTAAAGGGGAGACAAAACCGTCATAATTTGCTTTTTCATGTCCATATTCCATCCTCTTTCTGACTAAATAAAGTTTTAAAGTTTTGTTTTACTACTGTACTGATAAATTAGTATCAAAATAGATTTATACCAGCAGAAATATTTAGTTTTAAGGCTTATTTTGTTGCATGATATTTTATCTGTTTAATAAAAACACTAAATATTCAGAATGTAATTGAGTGATATTTATAGTGTTTTTCTTATTTTTCCCACCAAAGGGAAGTTCATCGAGCACCTTGGAAACGTGACGTTCACTGACAGTTTCCTGGGCAGTAAAGACCACGGGGGCGTCCTGTTCTTCACTCCAACCTTTCAGCCACTGGATGGTCTTGCTCTGCCGCAGGTCTCGTTCCTCTGTGGTGTTTTGATTCAGAAACTAGAGGTTCCCTGGGCTAAAGTGTTTCCCCTCCGACTGCTGCTTGCTCTGGGGGTGCAATACAATGGTGAGCCCTCATTAAAACATCCTTTAGTACACTAGAGAAGACTCTGTTTTTATTAAAATATTGTTTTTAAGAGATATAATATTAGCTCATAGTACCGTCTCCTCCAGTCATGTGGTGTTTGTTTTTACAGTGTATCCCTGCACTTTGGTGAGCGTGCGTTTCCGTGACTCAGTTTTTAAAGAGACGGGACACACCATCATGAATCTGCTCACAGTACGTGTTCACATTTAACCCTCGAGTATTGAACTTATTCATATAAATTTGCAATGCATTGTTCAAAGATGTACACTGGTGTTCAAAAGTTTGGGGTTGGTAAGATTTTTTAATGTTAAATAGTTGTAAATTTTGCATTGATGCATTGTACATTGTCCATACATATACATTACATTGATGCAAAGCCAAGTGTCACATGATCCCTCAGAAATCATTCTAATATATTGATTTGCTGCTCAAGAAACATTTCTGATTATTGTCAATGTTGAAAACAGCTGTGCTATTTCATTTATTTGAAATGTAAATCTTTTGTAACATTATAAATGTTTTACTGTCATTTTTTTTTTAGCAATTTAATGCATCCTTGCTGAATAAACACATTTCTTTCTTTAAAAAAAAACCCTTTGAACCTTTAAAAGATGATGTTTAAAGCTGTTTGTGGCTTAATGGTTCTCAAAGATGAAAGATATGCAGTTAAGGCCAAGATCATAATGCAGACTATTTGTTACTAACCTTATACACAATATCTAAATTTTAGGTTTAATGTGGTTTCAATTAAAAATGTTGTAATATGTGAGTCATTTCCCCCTAAAGGGTTTTAAATCGGAGATGGTTTGGTTAAGCTGTTTTTCCACCTTTCTAATCAGAGTCTCGGGTTCAGCTCAGGACAGATAATGAAGGAGATTAGAGAGCGCTCAAGACTCAAACCCAAGACCTCTCAGTGTGTACTTCAGCTCTGAGCCACTCTTGATTTCTGAGAATTAAAGAGCTTCTTTGGTCCCCATTCTAACTATAGTGCTTTCAAGTACACTTATGGCCACTTTTCTGGATGCAGGCATGGAAAAATGTGGTGCATCTCTGCAAATTAAGTTTATTTTGCATCTAAATTGGCTTATATTACCGGTTATTCTACTTTGCAGATCCATTTTAGTATGATGGTGAATGTAAACATGTTATCAAACTTTTGGCCCTGTAACCCAAAATCCTTTGTTTATTTATGGCTTAAAAAGATTTTTTTCAAGCAGCGAACCAACATTAAAAATATTCAAGGCAAAAACTAATAATTAAGTTGTACAATAATCAAGGAATTTTTTGCCCCTGTTAGCTATTTTTAATTATATGGACAAAAATAACATTACATAATACACATGACACACCTGTATTATTATAGGAATAGTTCACCCACAAATGACATTTTGCTGAAAATGTGCTCACCCTCAGACCATCCAATTTGTAGATGAGTTTGTGTCTTCATTAGAACATATTTGGAGAAGTTTAGCATTACATCACTTGCTCACCAATGGATGCTCTGCAGTGAATGGGTGCCGTCAGAATGAGAGACCAAACAGCTGATAAAAACATCATAATAATCCACAAGTAATCCACACCACTCCAGTCCATCAGTTAACATCTTAGCTGAAAAAGCTACGTGTTTGTTTTCAGCAAATTGGCAATTTTGGGTGAACTATTCCTTTAACTTTAGGCCTTGTAATGCCAAATCCTTGTTATCCACCTTCATTCTTGTGATTTGCTGATTCTAACACAGGATCTGAGGAACTATCAGTACAGTTTACCGGTGGTGGAAAATCTGAGAGTGCACATGGAGATGGGCAACAGCTACATCGACATTCCCAAGTCCGGGTTTAATCAGGTCAGAGTTATGTTTAAATTGTGTAGCAGTCAGGCTTCAGTGTTATTGTGTTGTTGAACGTGTTGTTTTGTTCTGGCTGTTGTAGATGCTGAAGGTGGTGAACTCCTCTAATGAGCATGTGATCAGTTTCGGTGCCTGTTTCAGCACTGAGGCCGATTCTCACTTGGTTTGCCTGCAGAACGAGGACGGAAGCTACCAGACGCAAGCCAACAGTATACCAGGAAAAACCAGGAGAGGTTAGTTAGTCACTGCTATAGCTAAAAAGCTTTAAAAACTTAGTGTTTTCTCTTGAATGTCTTAAAAGGATTTTATTTTTCAATCAGAGGGACCAACATTTCAATAATTTCAAGCCGTTGTAATTAACATGAAATTTTTTTTTTATTGCTTTTATATGCACAAAAATATTTAGATAATTATTTAAACTTACCAACAATAACATTTTAAATCTGAGGTGATATTAAAACATCTTTATGTTGTGATAGTTGCATGTTGCAAGACGAGGAATGATCGCAAGACTATTTAATATTATCAAAATCTTTAGGAAAACCAAACTTTCAAATGTACTTTGGTCAGCACCAAAAGTTTTAGTGTGAAATCACTCTTTAAGTTGTTTGTTGTGTAACATTTGTTATGTAATATGATAAGTGGATGTCTCACCGGACCCCATCTTTCATTTGCAGTGACTGGAGCTAGTTTTGTGGTTTTTAACGGTGCTCTGAAAGCCTCATCAGGATTCATTGCCAAATGCAGCATTGTGGAAGGTAATGCTGTCACACAAATCACTTTCAAACACTTCCTCAGGTCAAAACGTTTAATCATCACGCCGTCCCTCTTCATCTTTAGATGGGTTAATGGTGCAAATCCCTCCGGAGACCATGGAGGGTTTGCGACAGGCCCTCAGGGACCAGACCGACTTCCAGATCCCCTGTGGAAAGGCAGATTCGGAAGAGACACGAGAAAATGTGAATGTACGCTGGGTCGACTGGACCACACCTGTCAACACTGGGTACCAGCAATTTATCATATACATTTACACTATCAAAAGTTTGGAGTAGTTAAGATTCATTGTTTTTAAAAGAAGACTCTTATGCTCATCAAGGATGCATTTATTTGATCAAAAATATGGTCAAAACAGCAATATTTTTACAATTTAAAATAACGTTTCTATTTTAATATAATTTTGAAATGTAAAGAGATTAGTTAGTCACTTCTATAGCTAAAAAAGCTTAAAAAACTTAGTGTTTTCTCTTGATTGTCTTAAAAGTATTTTATTTTTCAATCAGAGGGACCAACATTTCAATCATTTCAAGCCATTGTAGTCAAGTAGATATTAAATGAAAATCTAAAAATCAAGTGAAAAGTAATCGAGGCATGTTTTTCCCAGTGATTTTGACTGAATTAACACAAAGAAAAAATATATATTTAATAATTTTTATTTATATGCACAAAAATATTACATAATACAAGGGCTGTCAAGTCAATTAATTGCGATTAATCGCATCCAAAATCAAAGTTTGTTTACATAATGTATGTGTGTGTACTGTATATATTTATATGTATATATAAATGCACATACGTACTTTAACATTATTTTCATCAATATATACAAATAGAAAAAAGTTCTTTTAAATTGTAATAATATTTCAGTATTTTTATCAAATAAATGCAGCATAGGTGAGCAGAAGAGACTTATAAAAAAAATCCTAATTATTCCAATCTTTTGACCAGTAGTGCATAGGAAACATTAACAGCAAATGTGGAAGGCCACGTGATCCTTCAGAAATCATTCTGATATGCTAATTTGCTGAATTTGCTGTTTAACATTATTTTCATCAATATATACAAATAGAAAACAGTTCTTTTAAATTGTAATAATATTTCAGTATTTTTATCAAATAAATGCAGCATAGGTGAGCAGAAGAGACTTATAAAAAAAATCCTAATTATTCCAATCTTTTGACCAGTAGTGCATGTTCTCACCAGATTCTTTCTTGTGGAGGTTCAGTATGCCAATACTGTACTGAATAACCACTTTACTGAATGATAAATCACTATTGATCTGTTTGGCTGCTGATGCCAGTGACCTTGAAAATGTTTTCTGCATTAATTAGGCATTATTTAATATTCATTCCTTCAGCTTCCTTTGACTGTTAAGATGCTGTGTCAGGCCAAATTTAATTCCCCTAAGACAGTATAACGTGTAACGTGTTTGCATGTTTGCAGAGTCACCAGTCCGGTGGATGGCAAGTCTCTAGAGGGAGTGTCCAGCGTCAAGATCCAGCAAGACTCAGAGTTTGAGATGGACGGCCGAACCATCAGGTGTACTGAGGTGAGTACGGCATGATGCCTGCAAAAGAAGGGATTTTATTGATGTAATCTCTGCTTCATGTCCCATCTCCCATCAGGTCTTCTATGTGCTGAAGTCTTCAGACGTCTCTCTGTCTGCCGTCTTCACGTCATCGGCTCAGTTTCAGAGAGAGATCGCCACCGCCAGCTGCGCCGCCCTCTGCCCGCACCTCTCTGTGCTCGTGGCGAATGGGTTCAACTCTCTCGCACTCCGGGTCTCCACCGACTCAGACATGGTAAATTATTTTGGGTGCTAAATTACACAGCAGTGTTGACTAAACAACAACTTCCCAGGCTAAAACCTGCTCATTTTATAATATAAGATCAAAATTGTTGTCAACAAAAGAGCAGCTTTAAGGGCTTCCTGTGGCTCATCCAGCAAAATAAAAGTTTGAGCTTTGAAAATTAAGAAATTAGAGCTAGCCATATATATAAGAGTTCGTTTGCAAAAACCGATAACTCCATTTTTATTAAATTTTTTTCAGAAATCACGTTTTTTTTATGTATTCCAAGTAATATCAATGAAACTGCAGTTGGGTTGTTTTGATTAAGTAATAATAACTTAAACAAATACAGGTAATTTACAGAATTAAAGTTCATTGAAAGTATGTTTTTTTTTCTTATATTAAATTATATAGATTTATATATTCTATCTATCTATCTATCTATCTATCTAGTCTTGTAAAATTGCAATACTAATTTATGGCTAGTTTAAATTTCTTAATTATCAGTAGTTGCTCAAAAGATTTTAATAAATATTACTAATGTTAAATTTTAACATTTATAATTATAAAAATGTATAATTGTTAATATATTAGTATTGCAACAGTGAAATATTTCAATAATAATATTTCTAATTTGTTTGATATTTTATGTACACTGAACAAAATTATAAACGCAACACTTTCGTTTTTGCCCCCATTTTTCATGAGCTGAACTCAAAGATCTAAGACTTTTTCTATGTACACAAAAGGCCTATTTCTCTCAAATATTGTTCACAAATCTGTCTAAATCTGTGTTAGTGAGCACTTCTCCTTTGCCGAGATAATCCATCAACCTCACAGGTGTGGCATATCAAGATGCTGATGTTACGGGGCTGAGAAGACGTGAGACGTGCGGATCCATATGCAAGCTTTATTAACATCAGAGGAGGTCAGTCACTAACACAGATTTAGACAGATTTGTGAACAATATTTGAGAGAAATAGGCCTTTTGTGTACATAGAAAAAGTCTTAGATCTTTGAGTTCAGCTCATGAAAAATGGGGGCAAAAACAAAAGTGTTGCGTTTATAATTTTGTTCAGTGTAATATATTTAATGTAATGTTAATACTAAAAATAATCATATAAGTTATGTTCATATATAATCACAAACTTTTGGGTCAAATTATGCAGCCCTTTTTTTCATATACAGTAGTCAACATTTGAAGTGGGTCTAAACCTTTCATCAAAGTTGTCCTAAAACCTAAAACCAAAAATGCGTTCTTGTCTTGGGACAACTTTGATGAACTTTTTTCATCCACTTCCAAATATTGACTACTACTTATATATATTTTATGCAGCCCTTTAAACAAGCACAGCAAACCTGGAGCCTTTTTTTAATCACATTTAAAATCACAATATTTAGCAGAATCACTCGTTGTATTTTTATAGGTTGAGTATCAGGCTGGCTCTGGTGGCCACCTCCTGCCTCAGAAGTATATGAACGATCTGGACGGGGCTCTAATTCCTGTTATCCACGGAGGAAGCTCCTGCGTCCCCCATCAGGCCGTGGACATGGAGTTTTTCTTCTACATCTCACTGAGCATTTGAACACTGGTGACTTACAAACTTTCCAGCCACAGGCAACCTGTCAGACCTTCACGATCGGTACCAATGAATCACAGATGCAGATAGACAGACTCCGTATCTGATCTCTGACAAGGTATGGAGAGTTTGATGCATTTTAGAGGAAAAGCACTTCACTGAAGTGGCACTATATTAGCGATCCTTTAGAATAAAGAAAGAGGTCTTGGATCAGCAACAAAAATAAAAACGTGAGAACTTTGCTGAGCTTTGCTTCTTCAGTCGTGTTTCCAGGGTCTGATTGTTGGATGCTGATCGACGAATGTTAGTTTGAACGCGAACAGAATTGTTTATGTATGACTATGATGTCAGATATACTGGTAATTATAATCGTTACTTGATTACACACATGGCAACCGAGCATATGAAGTGCTGTTTCTTTATGTCTGTTTTTTTCTGAGCTGGAATCTGCAATCTTTTTTTCCCATCCATCATAATTTACTGTTACCATATGAAGTAGCTTCATGTGGACTTAAGAATCCATATGAACGTTTTATGTAATGCTTATTGTACTTTTTTTTTTTAAGTACTGCATTTTATGATTAGTAATTTTTCTCAATCTGTAAAATACACAGAGGGTAAAATACGCCTCGGTTTGATTGTTTAAAACATATAGATGAAATCATCTGCTAATTCGATTAAGCTTTTATTAAGCTTAAATACTATTTTTGGAACAGACAGTTCATGTGTTGATTAAAGGTGATATTTTTGATAGGGCATTGAAATTACAAATTATTACACGTACTGCAATTATAACCCCAAAAAAGCTAATGAAATTCTTGTGAAAGCATTGTTTCAAACCACATATTATATTTACCAGAAAAGTTCAGAGTAAAGGATGATAGGATGATTTCTATGAAAAGATTTGCTTTAACATTTATATAATTATTTTCACACTACTGCATTAATTAAACAAAAGGTCATTTATTGAGATCTTTAAATGGCTTTATTTTACTATTAGTTCATTTTACTGGACAAAATGAAAAACAGCCCCATCTGTTTACACTACAAATGTGTTGTTGGTGTAACCAGCCAGGAATTGAAGAATCCTTAGAGCTTTGAATGTTGGCCTGAAAAAAAAAATCAACACATCTGAACACTTTCCATGTTTTTTCATTTTTAAAAATTTGTCAACCCACCATGATACGAGTTAACAAGGCTGCCAAATGTCCTCAATATACTCCAGACATTAAAATATCTGTAACTGTTTGACAGATTGAAGAATTATGAAAACGCTTTCCTTATGAAATATGCTGGATGGTGTTTCTGAATTAAGTAGCCATTTTATAAATGCAATAACCTTGAGTTCTTTCACTTGACTGTGATCCTACAATTTTACATTCAGCTTAAAATGTACCTTAAACCTGCAAAACAAAGCTTTTTTCCCTCAAATGAATTGTGATTATATTGATGCCAAGTTTATGAAATCATTACTTTTTAAATGCTGCAGCTTAACAAAAATCTAAATTCATTAATTTGCAAAATGCACTTTTACTGTGGTTGGTGAAAGGAAATACAGGACGAGTGATTGTTTCTTATTTTTTATTCAGTTTTTCTTCATGGTGATAAAATACAACATAAACAGTGATGAATCAGTTTATTTGATATATTGACTGGTATATTTAAATAATCTGAAGGCTTCTATAATTCTGTCACAAACCAAATACAAATGTTCTTAAGATACACATGATTGTTGAGATTAAATGTCTGTGAAATGAGTTGAGCATTTTATAGACATCTCAGATCCTTATTTGGGCTTTGTGGAATATTTTGGGAGTTAAATTATTTTCTCACTGTTACTGATTAATTAAATCATCACAATTAAAGTATTTTTATGCTTTACAAAAAGCTGTTAAGATGTACCAGTTTGCATCATGTATATCTATTTATTCATGAAAACCAGATTTATTTGATGAATTATCTGGTATGGGACCTAAGGATGTTCTTCAAAACAACATTCATTTCTAATATGTATCTCATGTAGAATAAAATTTTGATAAATATACAAATTTTTTGTCTCATGCTCATTTATGACATGTTTCTAACAGCCTTTTGTTTTGCCATTTAGATGAAGTGAGATTTTCTAAATGGGTGAGGGATTTGCTGCAAATTTACTGCTCGCGTTATAGTTCTGTTGTAATAGTTTTATTTTTAAAAGACATTGTGAACATCAAACACAACACACAAGCAAAGGTATGTTCCATACACAATGACTCAAATGTATTATGAATGAATTTGTATGTTGGCAAGCTGAATTTCAATGCCAGTAATGTCTTAACCACGAGTTGAATGGTATTTTGAACCTACAGGTCATTTAAATGTTTTTGTATCCTGTTTTCTTAGCTATTGAAGCTCTATCCACATTTATAACCAATTGTTCCTGTTAAGTCATCTTTGACTGTAAAGGTGCGGCCACATTTGTGAAATTTCACAGGCAAATAAAAGGTCCATTGTCAATAGCATAGAGATGCATGAAGCACTGCTTAACACAGAAATCACTTTCAAACCAAGCAGATTTACTGTACGTAACCAACTTCCGCCCTCACGTGAAGCTCACACGCCGATTCCTATTGGAATGACTGGATTTTGTCCATGAAGTTTCACAGAGCAGTAGTAAATGTGACTTCACCTTAAGGATGCATGGTTACATTTTTTTGTTTTTGATTAGACTGAAAAGTATAGATGCTATTTGTTCAGTTTCAGGGACCAGCAATCATTTGGTGTCAGTGCAAATCGATGCCATTGTTACCGTTTATAACAGTTGCAACCATTCAGTGTCCAAAAATGTTTGTGAAGTCACCATGTCACTTGAGCTGCTCGGTTTGCATGGAGTGTCTTCTCATCAGCATCCTCTTGGTCTTGAGATCCTTTGGAAAACCCGCAGGAGCCGAGGGAATGCAGGGCTTTGTCCCTGCTGCTACGCCACAAACTGCTTTGTTGCTGGAGCTGATGCTGCTTGGGTTGCCACTTCCGGTGATGTTTGGGATTGGTGCATGCTGGTTCAGCGGAGGGAGGAAACCAGCTCGAGGATGGGAGATGGGATCCAAAAGCGCCCCGGAGCCTCGGCGCTCGTAGCTGATGGGATTCCTCCTGTGCAAGTGCATCAACGAAGCATTCTCAAGAGACTCCCTGGAGCCCACCAAAGTAGGAGAACGCGAGTTAGCAAGTTTTCTCTTCTCTAACTGTCCTTTACGGGCTTCTGAAGAGTTGGCGAGGCTCACCGATAGTTGGGAATCGGAGCTGTAGTGGTCCATTCCTAGTTTCCTTCTCTGAATGATGTTACGGAGACTGGACACGGCCAAATTTGGCAGGGATTTGTCCGGATCCTTCTCAGCCGGTAAAGCTTCTGCACTGCTTTTGCAGTGAAGATTGGGATGGGATAAAGAGTGCAGGGATGATAAGCTATCAAAGGACATGTTTCGGCACAGTGCTCCTTCCGGTCTTAAACCGTTGCTTCCTTGCCGTAGAGTTTGACTCAAAGAGTTGGCTTCTTTCACATCAACACTGCAATGCCGCGATAGTGGCGTGTTATCAAAAGCCAATCTGTTCATTCTGAAAGTAATTTCCTCTTCGGGTGTGATGTCCGGGAGTTCCTCCGTAGCGGAGGTGCTTTTGACATGCTGTTGGGCCAAGAAAGACTGTGGGATCTTCAGCCAAGGCTCAGAGTGTAATCTTTGGAGATTGTGGATTTTGCTCAACCGACTGTTTACCAGGGGAACCTGGTGGGATGGAGAAGTTGGCTGGGAATTGGTCATACTTTGGAGGTCCTGGAAGGAAAACATGTGCTCTGTAGGACTAGAAGAAAGAGTCCCCTGTGGAGAGGTACTGAGGAGAATATCAGATGGAGAAGCACAGGGAACAATTGTGGAACTCCATTGTTCCACCATTGCAAGCGAAGGAATAGGTAGGTACTGTTTAGCCGTTTGCCTTCCGCATGCAAGTTTGTCAGGGGTGATGATGATGACTTCTTTTCCTCTGGCTTTGCAGGCATCCATCAAGATTTTAAGAGTTTCTTCATCGCTGGCATTGATGGCGTATATCAGAGCCGAAGAACCGGTGTGGTCCTCAAGACACGGATCCGCCCCGCTACCCAAGAGCAGCACCACCACCTCAGGACCGGCTTGCTCCAGACAGGCGTGCATTAGAGCCGTCTTCCCATTCTTGTCTTGGATGTTCGGATCAGCACCACTTTCAAGCAGGTACCCAACCATCTTCACCTTCGAGACACTTTGGTGGTCCATATGCCTGCTCCTGCAGGCGACCATCAAGGGTGTTTCGCCACACTCATTACTCTGATTGATATAAGCGCCGCCTTCCAGGAGAAGCCGTGTGAGACGGAGACGACTTAGATAGACGGCCTTAAGCAAGGAGTTGCCATCAGTGTTGACAACTTGTGGACCTTCCATCTTCACCTCTTTCACTGAGACTCGCACCTGACGGGGATCACGTATGCTGCCATGACAAAGCCTGTGAAGAGGGGAATAATGTTAGGTATTTGTCGCAAGGGATGTATGGAAGACGGTCCAGCTCTTCTTATGGCAAATTACACACATTGCATCTACACAATGGAAGTCTCGTGTAGCTTTGAATGATCCTATTGTGTTCGGCTCGTTATTAGATGCTTGATTGGTTGCACACAAATGCTGCAAGATGATAAAACAGAGCCAAATGCACTTTCGCTCTTTCTGTGTTTCTTTATTCAGTTCTGCTCAGCAACAAGCTCCTTTTTTGTAGAATTACAGCTCTCCCTCTCAAGCAATTTTTTTTCTGAAAAGCTAAATTCAATAAACCGAAGCAGAGACCTTGGCTTTATTGTTTGCCATTACTGCCAGACAACATTCTTAGCGCTGCCTGTCCTTTTCAGCATGAGCGCAAAGCTTGGCCTTCCTCGCGCTTTCTTTAGGAACAGCATCTTTCTAAAGGCGATTGTGTTTGCTGTCCTTGGTGTTACTTTCTCAGACACGTCTGCAGAACATCATGCCTCTGATTGAGGTTTATAAAGTGCTCTTGAATAGCTTTTAAGTCAATTGGAGAGACGGTATGTGCTTATGTAAAGAAGGTATGGATACTGTATTCAGTTAGCTTCGTCCTACATCTAAGCAATGCATTATAAAGAAGTCTCCTTGCATTTATTATAAGTTACTTTTGCCAAAGCATTTGTAGTTGTTTGTTTTTGCTAACTTCATGCTTCTCAACTCCGAATGAGACATTTTCATATGTATTTTTTTAATTTGCATGTCAATTTCAACATGATGGACTCATTTCGAATGCACATTCGGACATTCCTGGTGTTATTGTTTACAGTTCTAAATGGTGTAGAAACAATTAAATGTAAATGTCACAAATAGTTGCAAAGAAATGGCAAGTAACATTGAATTAAACATGAAATTTTGAAGTAGAAAGACTGAAATAGTATTTTCTTGTAAAACTTGCTCCAATCTTTATTTACAACCTCAAAAAAAATGCTGTGTATTTCAAAGATAATTTCTATATTTTACCAAATTTCACCAGATGCCTTATGAAATCAAAACTGACCCATTTTGCACTAGAAAAAAAAATGCTGGTAAATTTCACAATTTATTACAGAGAAATGCAATTAAATGTGACATTTTGAAGTAGAAAAACTGAAATAGTGTTTTCTTGGAAAACATTCCTGGTGTTATTTCAGAGATAATTTCTGTAGTTTTTGCGATCTTTCACCAAAATACATTGCTTTACTTTGCTTCTCAAATGACTGTCCTTTTCTGCTGATTCTTGTGTCTTGTGCTCCTTTACTCGTCAAATATCGAGTTTCAGGTTACAGAAGCAAAATGCTTGCAAATGTCATTTAATGTGGACTTTAATCATGTTGCATGCTGCAGATGTTGAAATCAAAGCCACAGCTCTCTGTCTGCCAGTGAAACAACATCAGTACTGACTATCCAAATACCAATTGCATTTCCTCTATGTGAAAACAAGGGTTTGAACAAGTTGTCATGAGCAGCTCGCACGCTGTTACCATGGAGGAAATGACGATTGCTTTTGAGTAGCTGTGACTTCTACCCTGTCAGCGATGTTCTGCCGAGCTGCTCAATTCTACTGGGAGCAGGTACGGAAGCTCCACTTATGCACTTAAAGTCCTGTCCAGCTGTTTTGCACAAACAAATCAGAAAATGACTCCATGCCATTTGCTTCAATTCTTCAAGCTTTTGTAATGTACATGGAAAGATGATGTATGAGACGGCATATTCAGTATGCACTTGAGATTTTGAAGAGGTCGCAAAGTGTTTCTATTCTAAACAAGGTACTGTGGTTCAAAGCGCTCTCTGCTCTGTGCCAACTGAACCAGTGAAACACAAGAAAATACATCTAACGACGCTTTAAGCAAAGCAAAGAATGTAAACTTCGTGACATGGGAGTAGAATATGTTCTGTCTTCAGTTTGCATATGGTAAAAATTAAGTATGATTATCAGAAGCTGCTCGTTTCATCGTTTAATGTCAAATACTACAGACTTGCAGTGTTAATGCAGAAGTAAATGGATAAAGAAGAGAAAAAATAAATTTTGTTCTTACCGTGTAATCAGAAACGTAGACTTGAGTCAGTGATGTTTTGCCAGTGTCACAGCTGCCCGTCTGTCTGTAGTGTTAATGTGTTTGACTGTGCTTGCATTGCAGGCATGACGTTGATCAGATCTAAGCGACAATGAGAGGTGCTTGATTCACATGCTGAGAGAGAAACAGGCAGGTGGGAGAGAGAGAGAGAGAGCAGGAAAACATCAAGACTCAAAATAACCCTGATTCTCAGGAACTTCAGGTACACATTTGGACCCTTTCAGAGTTTCAGAGAATTGATTTAGAAGCAATTTAATCTCAAGCAAGATTAAATGGCTTGCTACCACAAGAGTGAATTCATCAAAACCTGTCCAGAGACTATTTTATTTTATTTTTATTTATTTTTTTGTTTATTTTTAATTTTTTTTATTGTGTATGTTTTGTTTGTTT